TCCTCCTCCTCCTTCTACTCCGCGGCGCTGCCGCAGCCTCTCTGCGCGGCCGCCTGGCGAAGGGCAACGAGAGACCCATTATTGGTAAGGGGCGGCGAGGCGTGGGGGGAGCGGTCCCTCAGCTCCTGGCCGCCGCTCCCCGGGATTTACCGGCCGGCCCCGGGCTGCCTCGCACCCTGCCTTCGCTGTCCTGGGGGCTGGAACGGCTCCTAAAACCGACGTGAAGCTCTGCCGGTTTCTGTGTGGAGTGAAAGGGCTTCCGGAGCATAGGTTTGGTTCAAGGTTTTATAAATAGTGTTACGCTATACATACTTTGTTTCAAAAAATCTTGAAATAACTATAACTTACTCAGGAGAAGTTGTAATACTATATAGTTAACGCAGGGAAGCTGAGTCTTAGTCAGATAATGTGTGTTTATTTGGTGCCTTGTGACTAGGCATCATAATTGATGCCCCATCGTCTCAGTGTTGGTAATTCTTTCAGGCAGTAAATGTAATGCCGTAACCTGGCATACAGGAAATTGGAGTTTAATTTTTCTTTCAGCATGTACCATTTGCTATTTGTATAGTGTTGACTTTCTTTCTTGGACCCTTCAGGGATATTGTCACAGGAATGTCACTTCGAGAAGTTCCGCAGATTTGGAAGTTCTTATATTGCAGCTTCATATGTGAAGTTCTTGGAATCTGCCGGTGCCCGAGTTGTGCCAATAAGGTAGATTTTTATATTCTTATAAGTGGGTAATAATTGTTTAATGTAAGGGTGTCATCTTAGAGGCACAGAAAGCAGTTGTGCTGCCTTTCTGAGTGTTTAGAGCTTCTCAAAGACCATTTGAAGATACCACAATTTGCAGGGTGCTTTTTGAAATCAGAGTAAAAACAGACTGGAATGTGTAATTTTTAATATTTCTTCTTATGATAAAAACCTTTCTTTGAAAAATACTATATTCTACCTGTGAAATTACCCTCCATAGTTTGCATCCATGTTTTTTGAAAAGTTAGCCATATTCCATCTAATGTGCAGTACTCCACAAACACACATAGATACCTAGATACGTATATACATACTATCTTTTGTCACATTCTGTAGTCCTAGAATTCACGTAATGGAGGAAGGGTATTGCTGCTCCTTGAAGAAACCAAAGTCCAGTTCTGCTCAAACTGTGGAGGTCACTAACTCCATGTGGTGCTGTATTTTGGTTGTTGGGTAAAAAGTAGCAGAGTAACAGAACTACTTCATAGCCAACAGTTAGCTATAAAATAGTAAATACACTAAAATCAGGTGTTAAGATGATAATTGTCAGAAGTTAAAAATGATATTAATGCGGCTGCAGAAAATCACAATAGGGTGTATCTACACAGTCCAATAAGAGCGCTGGTTAAGTGCCTGACTTAGAAGCCAGTGTTCCTCAGTAGCTGGTGAAGCTTTCAGAATGTTTGCTGACCAGAAGCTTCATCAATGAACAGAGGCTTCTAATTCTGGCAACTCAGTTAGATGCAGCAACACTGGACACTTTGAATATGTACCCAGTGTATCGGTTCTGCAGGAGTGTAGCTGTCACACTGTTTTGCTGATGTTTTGCTGATCCTGAGACCTTTCTCATCTTTCCACCTCTCAACTATATCTTTGCTGAGATAAGAATAGGTGTGACCCACTGTTCGCAACTCTGCCCTTCTTGGAGTCAGTTGGAAACCGGAATTGCCAGTTTGCAGGAGATAATAACCATGCCATTCATGTAAATGTTAAATTTAACGAGTGTCTGCAAACCTAACCCTGAACTGTACCTGACAGGGCCATGTTTTCAGTCTTGTGGATTGAGCTGTTTTGAGTGAAATGTTTCATTTGATTTGGGTCTCTTATTCTGCTTAAAGTATGCTTTCTACATGTTTTCTGTGTCTCATGTTTCTGCTCAATAGGAGCATTTTTGTGGTTAAATATGTACATTTCATAAGTTTTCTGTAACTGTTTTCTTGGTGTTTCAGATTAAATCTTTCGGATGAAGAATATGATAAAATATTCCACTCTATTAATGGGTAAGTTTTGAGCACTGATTTTTCTGTTGAGAGAAATGATAGTTCTGGTTTTGAGCTCTGCTGTATTCCCAAGAACGCTGCCTTTCTACTCTCTTGAGAGGTTGTGCTGAGAGCTGCAGAGATGTAAACACTTCTAAGACAGAGTGTGCACTATTTCAGCTGATGTCGGTCTGCTGCCTTTCCTTCCTTGAGAAGCACATGTCAGATAATCTGCAGCAGTGCTGAGGCTCATCGTGGCATTCTCCTGTGCTTGTCTGCAGGCAGACAGAAGTGGCGTTACAGCGGTTAACAATTTTACAAGCGAAATAGCCCACTTCCTCTTTGTTAATTTTTTTCCTCTTCCTCATTTGAGTGATCACCTTAATTTTGATATTTAATAGCACTTGCTGGCTGTTTCATCCCTGTTCCTACCCTTTCTTCCCTCTTCTAGTCCTCTCTGTATCTCCTCTGTCATAAAAGTTTCTGATTTCCAGTCTCTTCTACCCTCTTCTCTATGGGTGCTTTCTCTGTTGTTACTTGAATGGCCCATCATGCCTGTTGTGATTCTGTGGCTTGGGTCTTTATTAGACAAACATTTTAACTTTCCAGCTGACCTATGGTAACTGTCCACCCATCTGTTCTTCTCACATTTTAAATGTGAGATAATATGATCTAATTTAACACATTTTAATTGTGGACTAAGCAAAATCAAAACCTTTAATGTTTGCCTTCTGCTAAAAGTGCACTTTAGAAGAGTTAAATCAGCTGATGCTGCACTTCACAGGCTTGATTGTATGTGAGCCCATAGCATGTGATCGGGCTACTTGTAGTCACGAGATGAGTATCTTAAACCATGAATATTTTTGTTAAGCTTACGCATATACTAGAATGTTAACGAACACATGTAGAACTTGCAGATTTAGACTGGTGGCTGTCTGGGGAGAGCATTGTCCTCTTACGCCCCGCGGCATGTCCTATACACTAAGATGTGGGTCTTTACAGACTTGTGGTATAAGCAAGTATAAGCCAGTGACACTTTCTCCCCTGTGGCTCCTCACGTTGGAGACAAAACAAATAATTTCATCCCTTTCTCATGGCTGCCAGCCTGTCTTTGGTTGCCGGAAGGACTTTTCACCAGTGAGGTCTCCCATTCGTTCTACCTCACCACCTAGCTCAATGCAGAAGAGGGTGTTAGGCAAGTAGATCCAGTTCCCTTATCCTTCTGTCTTTGCAGTGACTGGCAGTTGGGTTTGTGCTGTGTAGGTGGGTACGGATGGCTTATATTTCCTCTTGTTGCCCTCCAGTGTCAGCTAATGGCTTCTGCAGTATAGCTGTGTGTAAATAACAAGATCTCTGGAGGAGAGAGAGACTTTCTATTCTGTGGAAACTTAGAATAAAAAAGAGATATATTGATCTTTCACGTTGTAAGAACTTAGCTCCAGGTTCTTTGGAGTTGGAAATAATTTATTATTGAACACCACCTTCTTAAAATCATGAAATTCAGTATAGTAGAAGCAGAATTTTATGGATACAGCCATGCAGTCCTGAGATAGCCTTTGAAATTCACAGTGAACATGATCAGCTCTAATCAATTAGAGATACTGGAATACAGGTAGCTGCATTTCAATCTGCTTATGACAATGTCAAGCCATTATCATTGCTACTTAATGGGTTACTTCCTTTTTGCATTAGCAGAAATGACAGTTGTTTTTCCTAAGTAGTATTGGCTAATTTTTGGGTTGAACAAAAGAAACAGGTGAAGTGAGTTTTCCACCACTTCCAGGTAAGGATTGCCTTATTTGTGTAACTAGATCTCTGTAAAAATCTATAATCTGGCCTGTTTTGAAAATACCTTCAGCTGTATTAATTTTCTATATTGACACTGGAGAGTAATCTAACTTATATTTTTGTGAATACTGCGCTACTTTTCCACCAAATACTTGGTGGCTTTTGCATGATCCTGTGCATCATTCACCTTAAAATAAACCTTGTCACAAGGGTTTAAATGCACACTCTTGGGATCGTTTGAGATGTTAGTTGTTTCTAGCTGCTTGTCAGTATCTCACTGGTACAGGTTGCCATTTCCAGAGCACAGAAATGTAGAGGAAATTCTGTAGCTATTTTGTGGAAAAAAAATCAGCAACTGATGGATGTGGCTTGAGGAAATCTAGTTGGGGTTCCGCTGCAGTCGGTTTTGGAGCGCTCACACATTCAGTTCTGTCAGTTCTGCAGGTACTGTTCCAGTTACAGCTAGAAGAGGCTTATTTTATTTCATGTTACTGACTCTTATGGTACTTGATTAGTTTCCATGTCATCACATGTACGTGTGAAATCTCTGCTAGACTGTACGGCGTATTTTTCTTTTGTGGTGTTTGGGTTTGGGGAGCCACACAGAGAATTGCCATTGCTGATTGTTTTTTGGGTTTTTTTGTGATGGAAAAAGTTGTGCACTATTTCTTTGAAATTGTCTCTAAGATTGCTTTGTCTTCTTTGGCTATACTAGATACTGTGTAACCAAAGGTTAAGGCCAAATGTACTTTTTTTCCCTTTTAATAGGAGTTTTTTGATCTGTGTTGTCTGCAATAAGAAGGTCACCCTGCCAGGACCATAATTCTTTTCTGAAATTGAACAGGATGAATTAAGGTTGGGACCAGGATTTTAAAGTGGTAGGGAGAGCCAGCTGAGAGTCAGAACAGGATGTGACAGAGTCATGGCATGCAAACCTTTTGCGTAGCAGCTGAAATCTGTATGTTTTGTGTATTTTCTGTTTACTCTCTTCTTCCTTACATTACATTAGGCTCAGTCACTACTTTGTGATAGTAACCACTCTTCAGTAGAAGAACACTAAGATTTAGGATATGATTCAGTTAAAGTCTCAGACACCTAAACTTAGCTATCTGTATGTGTGCTAGCTATCTCAGCTCACATAATTAATGGAGTGCTAGTCAGTACAGCCAGTGGAGCCTACAGGGCTGTTCAGCCTACTGACCAGTTAGGGGTCTGCTCTAGAAACCTATTCGAGTCTCTGTTGACTTTCCTGACTAAATCCCTGCTGTCCATAATGGAAACTTCGCTGTCTATCTATAGATTTCTGAAATGTCTTAACCTAGACCTGAATTCTACCCTTGAAACCACTGTCAGACTTTCATCTGTGTACATTGTCTAGGTTTTAGTTTCATCACCATTGCTAATCAGATTCTTGGATGTTGCCTTTCAGGGTGCTTTTTCCAGGAGGTGGTGTGGATCTTAAGACTTCAGAATATTCCAGGGTTGCTAAGATATTTTACCACAAGGCGTTAGAGGTAATTACTAAGGAACAGTCTGTTCTTGTTATTGTCACTGTTCAGAGATCAAAATGACAGGGAGGCTCATATTTTCATAGTTTTGCATTGGCATCCGGTGTGTTAACTGTAAGCCCGATAATAAGTAGCTCATCGCTGGCTTCTGCATACAAAATCATTTAATAGCTAAAGATTCAGACTTCTGACACCCTCTCCTGTTGTATGTTGTGTCATGGTCTTAAATTCCAAGTTCTTCAAGTGAGAACAGTATCATTTATTCATTGTACGTGAGGCTTTATGGCTGTGTGGAACTTGCAAGTAAGAATCATGCCTTCCAAAAGTGCAGAATATCCATTGACATTAAGTGTTGAACAAAGATACACATAAAAGTAAGAATTTGTAGAAGTCTTATGACTAAAGTTTAGACTTGGAAGGAATTCTAGAGAGACTCTCAAATAAACCAATTTACAGTAATAGAACATTAAGGCCTCCCTTCTCATACATGTTACAGCTAGTGAAACACCTTTATTCTCGCTTATATGTAAGTAGATTTAAATATATCTTTGGAGGTGCAGATGAGGGATCTGCATTAGCATGTTATACCATTTTACCTATTTCTTTGCATTGGTAACTGTAAATATAGCACATTTTTAAAGTAAATGGTAGCTTAATTTATAAAACAAAAGGTTGGGAAGAACACTTGAAAGTTATATTAATTATTTTTCAATATTTATATGGTCATTAGCTTTATTAAGAAAAGATTTAATTTCTGGGAAAGCTGTTTCTTTTAAAGAACATCGGGAAGGCACTGAATGCTTACTGAAGATTTAATTCTCTTAGAGCGTAAGAGTGGGTTTTTTTTTCAGATAGTAATCAACACATTTTGAAGTAAATTGTGCATTGTGGAAAGGCATGGAGATTCCCTGAGCTTTATATACCATCCTTATGATTTGTTAAGGATCTTCTGTATTCAAATTGAATAAAAATGTAAATTTCCTTCCTTTTTTTCCTCTTTACTGGCTTTATTTTATTTTCAGCTAACGATCAAAATTGTCACATAAATCATACTTTGGAAAACTTTGCCTATTTCTAGAGGCAGTTATGAGTAGTGCTTAAATTGTTAACCGTGGTAGAAGCGTTCATGGGCGGTGAGGAATTCCTCTCCTACCCCTGCTGCTGATTTTCTAACACCAGGCAAGGAAAGCACAGGCAGTGGCATTCGCAGAACCAGTCAGCTGCTGCAATTTAGTAATTAATTTTCCTGCTTTTCAATCCCCGTGGCACCAATGTTGTTACTCTTTTGTCTGTCTTTATTTGTCGTGATTGTTAGTCTGTCGCCTTAAACCTCCATCTTGCAAAGACTATCTCACTTTTATGTGAGACAGTTAATCTCATTTGTCTCTTTGAAACTTCTTCCTGTGTGAAGTGCAGCGTGTGTCTTTATATTCAGTATTGGGGCAAGGGTTTCGTGTGGTTTGCAGTATTACGACATTTCACAATGATTAACTGCATTGCATATGTCATAATTTTGTGATCAGAAAGGCAAGTTTATTAGACGGTATGTGTACTTCAGGTGAGTGAAAGGCAGGACATAATTTTCAGTTCATCATAGGTAACCCTTACTAATAAGTCGGAGTGTTCTTTCTGTGCTATTTGTGATGATTGTGTGTTTTGTTTTTCATCTTTTGAGACTTAGCACTATAAAATATTGGTAGTTTTACTAATGTAAGGTAAGCTACAATAGTCAAGAGTATATTAGCAGCTACAGAATTGACTGCATTTTATGTATTTTAAAACGTGTGAGGGCTCCTTTTGTCTTACATTTTCAGGTGTTCACAATGAGAAATGACTTGGTCTGCCTCTGCTTTAATATGAATAGAGGATGTGAAATGTTAATCCCCATCCAAGTCAACAGAATTTTACTAGCTAGGCAAAAACCTAAATGAAATACTGTTTTCCAGCTTTTACATTAGTTCTTAAAATGTGTTGTCTCGGATGTTGTTTAATATATGCTAATATTTATTAAAAAAAAAAAAGGGCATGGGGTGGGGCACAAAATGTTTACAGTTCAATTGTAATTGTTCTCAAACTGTAGTCTATTGTTTGCCTTTAGTGGCTTTATTCCTCACTTACATGAAAGACAGACAGTGGAGTTGCAAGTCGTGTGTCTAGCCATGCATGACAGGTGGTCATGAAGACTCTGCAGTACTATTAGCCTTCTTTCTATAAATCTTCCTTCTTTCCTCTGAGAAGAAGTAGTTATATGGGCTTTTATTACCATACTAGCAGTAATGCAGTAGGGTAACATTTTTATTCTAAGCCTGTAACTTCAGTTTTCTCAAAAATGGCTAGTGAGCAGCTCTTCAGGGGGGTGTGGTGTGGTATGGTATGCATAACTTAAAAATGTTTAGAAATAAGTTAAGAAAGACTACTCAGAACAGGTGTTCTGAAACATCCCAGTCTCTAATGTGTGCTTACTTACTATCAGGAATAAACGATACAAACATGCAAATTTCCACTGCATGTATGCACTGTGCCTAGTTAAGTGACAGGAAGCTAGGTGTGTTCTCTTTTTGCTTTCCTTTTCTCCTTTTTTCTTTCTTCTCTTGTTTTTGCATTTCCCTGCCAATTTTTATTCTTTTGAAAATGATTGTCACTTTTTTTAATGTTGCTTAAACTCACTATTTATCTTTCTGGAAAATAGGTCCAAACTTGCTAGTTAAACATGCATATATGTCACTTAAGACCGTAGCCATGCTAGAAGTAGGATTTATGTTTTCTTAATACAGATGGGAGGGCACAGGCATATGGACATTGCAAAGAGTCCTTGCTCTGTGATCATAACACACTTCATATAAAAGTATGAGTTATAATGAATAGGCTTTCCCTCAGAATGGTGACAGACTGGTTTGTGTCCCTTCTTATGATTGCCTTTTTTATGGAAATGTTGCCATTTTGTGGTTTCTGTTTAGGCTGCTCTCAACATTACTTATTCATAGAACAGAACAGTCAAATTGATATCAACATTAGGCTCAGTTTACTGCTTCAATGGACATGTGTATCCCCTAATCTTCATATTTTAGGATTAAAACTAAGGGGGAGTCTGTTTATTTCAATTGTAATTGAACTGTTACAATTCCTCTGGTAGCAATTTGTACTACTCTAGTAGTTTTACTACTCACCTGCACATGAGAAAGCAAAAAGAGTAGGGAGTTTGCTTCAGTCTTCTTTCTTTAAATCTTCAGTACTTTTTCTATATATTGTTGCTTTTTATTTTGAAGGCTAACGATAAAGGAGATTATTTCCCAGTATGGGGAACATGCCTTGGACATGAAGAGCTTACGTATCTCACAAGTGGCGAAGTTTTACTTGTTAATACCAAGACAGATGGCTTTGCGCTCCCCCTCAACTTCACCTCAGGTGAAAAATCCTTTCTGTCTCATGTCTGAGTTTTGCTGAGAGATGTTGTGTTTTGTTCGTGATAAATATGCAGGGGTGAATGTTTAGGAGGTTTCTGATTGCCTTGTTAAATTCTTTCTTACTAAGTTGCCATGACTGTTTTTATAAAGTCTGTGCAACTCTATCACTTCTAAAGCAGAGACGTGAGCACAAGCCATTTGAAACCAACAGCAGTCAGCAAAAAACACAGTTGTGACTCTGAGTCATTTGATAATTTGGACCTACAAAAGTAATGTGGTTTTAGGCCCCTTTTTGTTACCGAGTTGAAAATCAACTTATTGTTCAACTATAAATGACCTGTCAAACTCGGAGAGCAGGTGATTTTAAATTTTTTCAAATTTCATCTTTCCTAATGATAAATATTAGCATTGCTGTCCCATTTGTACAGTGTTGAAAGCAGAGAGATCCCTTAAGACAGAGCTGTGCCACTCAGCAACACTGGTAAACTGTGGCCTCTGTTGATACTTTAGCCTTCAATTTGCGAGTAATCCATCTGCAGACCGTGTAGCATTCACAGATTCTGTCATTTGTGCTCATTGTGAATGGAAATGTCACTGAAATGAGTGGCAAAGAATGATGCTTCATTTAGTGAGAACTTAGGTGGCAAAGTTGGGTCTTCTCTGGGTCAAGACTGGAGGACAGTGGTAGCAGCATATTGGAAACTTGTCGTAGTTATTTCACTGATTTTCCTTGCAGTGTGTTGTGAAATCATGGAGTTATACTACAGAAAAAAGTTTACTTAAATGCAGTATTTTATTAAATTTGTCTCCTGTTCAGTATTAGTCCATCTGTCAGCAGCCTGGGTAATGGACAATATCCTTTTTTTCATTTTTCTTTGTAATAGCTGCAAAAGACAGTAGATTATTCAAGAATTTCCCTGATGATGTATTACATGCATTTGCTACTGAGCCATTGACATCAAACTTTCATATGTGGAGCCTCTCCATGGAGGTATTTGATCATTTTATTTCCTGAACACAAATGCATTCACTCTATTAAAACTAGAAATCAATGAGCGAATAACACATCTTTTTTTCCCTCCCTCCTTATTACAGAATTTCACAAAGAATGAAAAGCTTCGCAATTTCTATAATGTTCTGACCACTAACACCAATGATGAAGTGGAGTTTATATCTACCATGGAAGGTAAGGAAATGAATTTCCTTTGTAAACTGCAACTGTAACAAACTGGTTCCTTAGAGGTGTTCTGGCATTGATATTGATTTGTACTGCAAGCTTGCTGTTAAAATAGCAGAGTGAGCATCAGCCCTATCGGTGCTCTGGCTGTGAGGAACATCCTGTGTTTGCAAGGATATTTTATCTTTTCAATACGTATCTGTGAGCCTAGGTACTCACTTCTCTCACCTGCTGTTCCCCTTCCAGGTATACTGTTACACTTTAGCACTGGAATATTTGAGTGCTGTGATGTGAAGCGTACAGCACTCATCCCGTAGTAGTTTAATCCCTTCACAGTGCGATGTGCCTCTGTACCTTGCTTTCTGTCTGTCTGCTTATGCTTGCATTCCTGTGATGCTCCGTATCTGTTCGCTGTATGGGAAGAACAATTCGGGGTACTGAGGTAACAGCAACATCCCTAACTACTTTAGCAGCGATACTGGTAATTGCCCTTCTAAAAGCCTTTGGCATTACTTACATGTGTTGTGTATGTTTTGCACTGGCCTTGCTCAGCTCAAGAAACAAGTTAGCTCTTTAGGGAGTGGTTTATCTTGATCAGTGCACTACTTGCAGCCCTACCATAAAAGCCCAGCTGTCGGCCCATGGGATTCTTCCTTATGGCATACTGGCTGTCCTCCAGAAGAGAAGAATAGTAGTTTGATCAGAAAACCTGATTAGGCTAATGACAGACATCTCTTGTGCCTGCAAGCGGTTTATAGTCGAGCAGTACTCAGCTGCTGTGCTGCTGTTCTCTGAAAGAGAGTTAAGGACTGGCTTCCCACTGTGTGTATCAGACCTGGCACGGAGCAGATGGGAGGTGCCCCTGGGGTTGACTGGGCCTTCAAGGACATCCTTGGATCTGTCCCATGAAACTGCCAGGAATATCCTGTGTGGCTGAGAATATGTTGAGTGATGCTAGCGGTAGATACAAAGTTTTGAGACTGATAGACTTGTAACATTATTTTTTAGTGTGTATATATATATTAATTCTGAAATGAATAATCAAAAAAGTGGCGTACAAAAATTTTCTTGCATAGAATGAGACCCTTCTTTTACAATATCCATTTTTTTTCCTTCAGTTCAACTGTGGCTTTAACAGAGTTTCAACTTGCTGTTTAAGCTTTTGTGAAACTGTTGATAAGTGAGGTATTTTTGTAGCTTATCCTTTGAGTTTCTTTTGCAGTAGGACTAAGCACATCATTCTTGAGGCATAGACCTTGCTTACGTGCCTTTTGTTTGTTGCAGCATACAAATACCCAATTTATGGCGTCCAGTGGCATCCAGAGAAAAATCCTTTTGAGTGGAAGAACTCACCAGGCATTCCACATTCCCCATCAGCTGTAAAAGCAGCATATTATATAGCTGATTTCTTCATTAACGAAGGTAAAAAGTTTATTATCTATAAATGTCATTCTTTAGAGCGAAGCATTAGTGAAAATCTTTGAGGACGACAGACCTCTTTTTCATCTGTGAAAGTTCAGTACCTCTTACTGCTTTCTGAGAAGATTACTCGGCAAGCTTTATAGGCTTATAAAAAACCGAGGGATACTAGAAATAGAATGGCTTAGTAAAAGTGACACCAAAAGGCCAGGCATTCCACAAACTCTTTTCAGTAAACTGGCTCAAAAGCATTGTTTGTGCGCTGACTACCATTTCGAAAGATCACTGTAACGCTTTAGCCTCCCTGGCACAAAGACAATGAAACGAAAAGAATACTCCATTCCTAATTCCAGAGGTTTCTTCAGTTCCAGACTGAGTTACAGTCATTTAATGTATGCTCAGTTTTCCTTGCAAGATATATGCACCAAGGTTATAAATACTGCTTGGGCAGTGTATGGATGTATCAAAGGGGGGCAATATGGTGCCCAACAGTTATATACCATAGACAACACAAGAAGTTTTTGAATCTTACGGAGGTTCTAATTTGTTTGTTTATACCATAAGAACCTCGAAGTAATGTGTAAAATCTTAATAATTTATGACACTTCTGGTCTATTTGCTATAAATAAGCAGGATGTAAATACAGGAGTATTTGAAGGAATCAGACGTAATTTATTCCTTTATTTATACTTACTAAACCATTCTGCTGAAATACCATTTTCATATTTTCAATGGACTATTTATGAAACTGTCTTGCGTGATCGATTGGGAATATGAAGAACATAATCAATAACCTAATTGAGTTTGTTCTCTAGATTTGATCTATAATCAAGAGAGTCACCTAGTTGGAGAAAGTAGATGGTGATTTAAAGAAATGTAACTTGTGCTGACCTGGTTAGTGAGCGTGTAGAAATAAAAGTTGTGCTTCATACAAGTTCAAGGCTCTCGTGTGCATAACGTAGTCCTACTCCCCTTTGCGAAAAAGTAGCGAAATCACATAAAATTCCTTGTCAGTATCCATAAGCTGTATGTTAAGAATTTTAATAGAGTACTTATGGCAGACTAAGACAAAAATAAGGGGGAAAATAGGAGAAAGTATAGTATGAATCTGTTTTTTCTTTTGTAGTCTGGTAGTAGAATGCAGCATGTTTTCTAGTTTTCTTTGCTACATTCTCTAGTATCTGTCTGCACACTGTATTACAGGCAGAAGTAAGCTTGCTCAGGCCATTATCCAACTAAATGTGGGTAAATATGTGCCAACGCTGCTTGCAAATCCTGTTGAGATACAGTGCATGTGAGTTCGTTTATACACATATACACATATAATGAGCTTGTGCATAGTACCACATTACCTCCCTAATCTGTGTACAGCTGCTCCTGCCGAGTCCTTCACATCATAACGTTGCAATGAGTAATTGATGTTTCTACCTAACCTAAGGCAGAATGTTTTCCTTAACTTTCCCACTAAACCACAGGGTGAAAACCGTAAACTTTTCAGCTCGCAAAAAAATGCTCATCTGTGATCACTTAATAACTAAACCAATATACTGAAATATCATTTTCATATCCATCCGTCGTTAATTTTAACTTGTGTAGAGTTGCCAACATGATAAACCAGACAAGGATTCAGTTTTTATTGTCCTCACCAGCACAGTCCATGCTAACGCTGCAACTTTCAGTAGGCTGATACTCTGATGCATTTCTTCCTGTATTGCAAGTACTGGTATCTCTGGTAGGTACTGCGCGTGTCTCGTGGATAAATATTTTTGTACTGTTTGGCTTTAAATTAATGATTAAATTTCTCCCTCCTCAGTAATAAAATATGCTGTAACCAGCTTTCTGAAGACGTATCTTCACAGTTCTTCACATACAAGTTACTGTAATTCCATTTGCTGTTATGCTGCACAGAATAACTTACTTTGCCAAGAAAGATACTGTCGAGGGTAACAGTAAAGTGATCTATGCTTTTACAATGTTTTACAGCCCGGAAGAGCCTGCACCATTTCCCCAGTGAAGATGAGGAAACAAAAGAATTGATTTATAATTATACGCCAATTTATACAGGAACATTTTCTTCATTTCAGCAAATCTATTTTTTTGATTGAGTATCGTGTCAAAGGTGCAGTGTTGCTATTTATAAATGGAATTACTTGCCAGCATTGCATAATTAAGCTGATACAGTGCACTGCACGTGACAGAAAGCCAGAACAGTTCTCTTCCTTTACAATGATTTATCCTGTGTTTCTTCCGCACTGTTGGACCATTAATATAAAAATTTACATTCAATAACATAATAATTGTCTTGGATCACACTTTAAGGCAAGCTACAGAAAAATGCATTTTTCTTCCAGGGAAGAGGTCTTGATTATACTTGCAAATTTGGAAGTAATCATATTTAGTACAAGGAAAAACACTGTATTCATATATTTTAAAATAGTTGTCTTTGTAAAATGTTGTGGACTGTGCATTGCTTAGTAAAATCCTATTCTTTTCAAATGATTTAACAAATGAGACTCTTGGGTTTGTCGTAAATATGTGTATGTAACCAGGTTCTTGACAAGGACTGTTTTGTAATTTGAAAAAATTGACCAAAATAGTAAGGAGGCATGATAGCAAAGAGACATTTTTGCCTAAAAACCACATGTTGGATCCCATTTGTGAAACTTGTTTCTCTTGTACATTCAGCATTGTTTGGAGTGCTTGTACCTTGTGAGGCCTACATAAATATGAGGATGCACTGTAAACTAGACATTGCAAATATGAGGTAAATAAGTGAGTTTGGAGGACATAATTAAGTGCTGATTCCACTTTCTGTTCTTCTCAAATTCAGTTTTATCTATCCTCCAAGAATTTGTCTGAGAGTAGCGGGAGTCAGCAGACAGATCTGAAATGCAAACATCTGTTTCTTTGTATGTAAAAGAATGTAAACCTAATTTTTTCTTTACATAGTCTGACTTGTGCTGTAGCTACTGGATAGAATTCTCACTTTGAGTCAAGAGGTAGTTTGCCATTAACTTGGTAAAGACAGAAGTTTCTTTCTGTCTTGTTGGATAGTTTAATGCAGCTAGAACTCAAACAGCAGATGAATGTATACGAGAAACCTGTTAATGTTGACATAATGTGATAATAGCAGTTGCATTCAATACACTGTGATACTTTTTTCCTTTCTTTTCCTTTTCTGCACACTTCGTGAAAATTTTCTTTAGTTGTTTTGTTCGGTGTCAAAAAAGGAACTAAGATGAGACAATCAAATACAACTCTCCTCTATTGTATAGCTTCCAAACTCTCATAACATCAGCAGGGATTTGGAGTTATGAAGAATTCAGGTTTTTACCTCAGCTCTGTTTTGTAGTACCTTATACTGTCGAGTACCATATCTCAATAAAGCTGGTACATTTCTCAGGTTTTTCAAGTAAAAGACTCTCTTAACTTGTTCTTTATCGTGAAATAACTCTGTGAGAGAATGTGAAATGCATTAGTTAAGAAACTATAAGGAAACATTAACTGTGAGTACCAGAAAGACACTACCAGGTAAATACAAGCTTAAGCACGTGATACTGCAGATTATTTCTACATCTGTCAGATCAGCCAAATTCAATAAATGGAGCTTGTTTTTAATATAGGTGACTTTAATATAATAACTTTATTAGCTAACTCCTGAGTTAGAACTAAGTGTAAAAAGAGGATTATGCTCTACAGTTGCATATAAATGTGGCAGCTAAGATACTTAAAAACCAAGTCCAGTCTTCTGCTTCTTGTTCAGGCTGAGTTCTTTGGAATAGCTCTAAGAATATGCCTAAGTAAGGAGGACAGGATTTAGCCTTAAAAACCGGGACCAATCTTGCAAGTGAAATGTCTGCTAACTGCAATGGTAGTAATTAGTTCCTAAGTGTGTAACTATAAGGAATATTCTGCGTAATATGATGAGAATGCAGTGTATTTATTACGAATTTGTATGTGTCTTTCCTTTATATCCTTTATCTTGTAAAGCCTTACTTGATAGTATCCATGATTTTTCTATGATACATTAAATAACTTTTATTCAAGCGGATGTGTATTTTTGTTCTTTTTTAGATGCCATGGATAAAGCATTAACAGTCATTGTCTTTTTATTTCCATCTGTGAACAGTCACAATTCAGGAAGCTACTGTAGCCAGCATGCACTTGGTATGGTCATGTCAGCAATTCAGGGTCAGGCTGAGTGAGATCCATTGCCTGGCACAGCCATACCTACAGCCCAGCTCAGGCAGGGCCCCATGGCCAGGGCCTGAGCTTAAATACACTTCATCGTGGGCTGAGGGGCAGGAGCTTTCAACAAGGCTGCTCACAGCTCTTTCTCGTGCAGCCTTTTCACAGCAGGCTCATCCCAGGTGCAGAGTGTCAGAGCTCGCTTGTGCACGGGCAGCCAAACCCCTGCGAAGGTGGGAAGGGGTTGCAGAATTGGTGGGTGCTCTCAGAGCTGTAAGTAAAGCAACTGCTGTTTGCAGCATTCAGTGAAATGAGAACTTCTGTCTGTTCCTTATAATACCTAACATCTTCCATCAAGTTCTCCTCCAGTCAGAAGCAAACTACAGGACCCCAGAATTAGCTAGCACTCATTCAATACAGGATTTAAAAATTTGTTTTAAAGAAGTTTCAGAAGACGTCCTCTCTGCTCTAAGTGATTTACAATATAGTTTTTCATTGCTCAGACAGAACTTCTAACATAGTTTTTAGGATTAATGCTAGAAAGAGAAGGAAAGGAACCTGTGGCCATACTGTCAGCTTATTCAGGGTATGGCTTATGAGCCTAATCATCTTGCTTGCTGCTGTGTGGGACATCCGTTGATCAGCAAGGTAACCCTGTGTGTCTTGCAGATTATATTAAATCATCTTTAAGAAGTTAGAAATGTTTTTCTCTTTGTACTGTTCTGCTTCTAACACTAGATGGCCTACAAGAACCAGTATTTCGTGCAATTTTGTAATCGGGTGTGGTGGTGTCTCGGAAATTTGAAGTGAATGTTGAGTAGGGTATTCATTGTACTGTGGTAGTTACTTATGTACCAGGGTATTTGGGATGTGGGGGAAGAAGAAGGGAGGAGGCAGAATAAGACTGGAATCTTATTGGCATAACTGGCCAGATTGGCAGGATTACAGGAGAGAAACAGAGAGTACATGAGCATAGAATTAATTTAGCTGGGATGAAGTCTTGTTACCAGTGAATATTTAAAACATTTGAGCATTAGCTGGAGGTGACTGGAACAACATCCCTATTTTCAGGTGGTTGTTCCTTATAGCTACAGAATCTGTCTTTGTTCCTTTTTCAGTAAATATGAAACTAGCTCATGCCAAACAGGACAGCTTAGGTGGGAACAACTGAGAACCTGAGCTTAGAAAACCATTGCCTGGGAGGTAGGAAAGACCAGTTTGAATTCCTTCAGGTAAGGAAGAAATTACAAGGAAGAAACATCCTGAGTACATGCTCTTAAGTACTGAGTTAAAGAGTAAGAGGAAGAGCCTAACCCACAAGCTGCATTGGGGCGGGGGGGAAATGACCCACCCAAAACCTCACCACTTCTGGGCTGACAGGCTATGCAAAATTCCCTAGCAAGGTAGTGAATCCAAAGCAGAGATCAGTGTCTGAGCAGGCCATGACCCTATTCCCACTTCAATGCTGACTAGCTTTTTTTTTTAGGCTAATTTTTAACCTTTGTCCCTTCGTCATCAGTGCCACCTTATTCATTGCTGTGGAGGCCACTGAGCAAAATGATATTGAAAGCTGGACTGCGCTGCAATTCTGGGCAGATTTCCATAGAAATTAGTGGCCTGCTAGGGACGTGGTGGTTCTTATCGTAGAACAGCGAGGAAAGTACGGGAACGGTTTGAACAACCAGGAGGAACAGTAATGAATAATTTCCCAGTTGTGTGTCATCCCTGCGTGGCTCTTATGAGGCAGGAGTCCCGAAGGGAGAGAAATAGTTGTGTGGGTGATGAGGCAGCTGAAGGCTGCGTGCCAATGCATACTCAAAAATGCTTGGGTTTGAGGTGGAAGGGTGTACACAGGAAGATTTCACAGTCACTTTTATCACAGTAATTAATTTTTTATTTTATCTGGGGTTGTTTCTTTTTTTCTTCTGTGGAGTTCACTTGTATGTATCGGGTGGTAGTGTTATCAGAAAAGCTACAGGAGTTGGCTGGTGGTCAAGTCCCATTAAGGTTTCTAAATACCAGTTCAAATTATTTTGGTCTGAGTACTTACATGGAAGACAGACTGACAGATACTGTGAGGTGATTGATTACCTCCCCTTGTTAGCCTTGTGTCTTTCCCCAGGGCAGGCCTTTTACCTAATCCAGTGCTTATTTATAGGGCAAATAGTGAGGAATATCCTGCCCAGGGCCACCTGTTGATAAGGATTCCAGCTTTCATCACTTCCTGATACTGTTTATATCTGTTTCATAATGTAAGCAGTGCATTTTAAAAGCCAACTTTCTCTGTAAGTTCTTATATAAGCAAAAATTTCCAAACCCCTTTCATCCAAAAAAATTCCAGACCATCTAAAAATAGCTGTCACTATTTGAAAGAGTGCTTGAACAAGGCATTTGCTCCAAATGTAAGCAAAAAAACCCCCTCAAATTCTCCTCTTTGTGGTTCTCAGAAATGTAGTGAACAAACATCCCTCGCAACCAAGATTTCTGTAAATGAAAAGCAAAAAGCAAACAAAAGACTGAAAGGAGTAAATTCTAGCAGTTGTTGCTTCTGGTCATCAAAGCAGTTGGATTGAGTACTATTAGCCTGGGACTATGTGCCTCCCAAGCTTCCTTTGATCTAGAGTGGACGGTATTTCACTTGGGTTTTTGCAGTTATACGAGTCCGAGAGCTGATTTTATGTGTGTGTGTTTCTTACTGTTTTCCTGAAAAGCAGATGAGCAAAACCAGAAAGCCTAAAATAGCAATTTTCTAGCTAGGAGCACATTAGGAAATTAGTTTCTCCCTCTGACCTTCTTCAGTCACCAGTATAAACAGGTTGTAATCACCTGGATTCAACTTCAGACCAGGAAGTTTAAACTTCACATACCTTAGCTGTACTTCACTGGGCTTTACTCAGCAGCTCTCACCCTAGGCTACCTCTAAAGGGCCTGCTTTTTCCAAAGACAATGAGACTTATATTATTGTGGCTAATTACTCAATTATTATATTAATTACTAATTTTTAATACTATTATTACATTAATAATAGTGTTACAGAGGAGACACAAAGTACAATGAATAGTTTACAGATGGTTTCTGAGAATTTCCCAAAGAGTCCCTGGCAGAATGGA